CCCCGCCCCTGGAGTTATATTGCTACTGGCCAGTTCAGCTACTGAAGACCATGTTCAGTAAAGGTTTGTTATCCAGCACTCATGAGATGCTCAAGCTTATTGCTCTGCCCCATTCCCTACCCAGAGGCATCGACAGCGACCAAACCCCCACCCAACTGGGAGTGCCATGGTGACAGCCCCCGTTTCTGGCAAGACATGCTCCCCCCCCCAACCCGGAACCATGGAGTCATCCTACACAGCAGACAAATAAGAAAGCCCTCCAGTACACTTGGGTCCCGACAGTTGGAGGGGAAGGAGGTACCTGAGGATGGTGTCAGTTGGCCATACCAGCTGTCTAGCAGTGGCCAGAGGTATCAAGCTGGCTGGTTGGGGAGACAGGAGTGGGGTAGTTGAGAGGGAGGAACTTGCCTTCCGACCAGTGACAGTTAATGGGGCATTCGGGATAATCTTGCAGGATAATAAAGCTTTTTACTGTACTGTGGAGTGCTTTCGTGTTCTCCTTATTCTTCATGAGTAAATTTTTTTCTTCCCCAGAGTTCAAATGGTGGTTTAACTGACTTTCTGAGTTTCTATACATTACCGTCAACAGTCATGCACCATCCTGTTCATAAAAGCCTCAAAGCCGCCTACTCCTTCTACAACGTTCATACAGAGACCCCTCTTTTGGATCTAATGAATGATGCGCTCATTATAGCAAAAATGGTAAGTACCTCTGTCCTTTGTGTTCTGTGTTGCTTCCTGTGATGAAAAACGAGGCTTTGGTTTAAGGCCTTTTTCACCAAGAAGAGTCTGGGCAGGTGGCAGAATGGTCCTGTTTGCACTTTTGGTCTTCTGGTACAGCTCATTTGTTGACCCTGAAGAAAAAGAGGGCAGCTTCTGCTGGGTACAGCGTTCAGTGTCTAAGCCCTGAGGGAGTTTGAAATAGCTAAGGACCAAAGGTGTACAGCTGTGTTTTAGGTTGTGTCCCGTCCCCCACCACCACCTGTGCAACTAGCAAAATAAGGCAGTATGGAAAACTGCTGAATCAGTTTAATAAAACCTTGAAAGTCCAGGGTGACCAAAGTTATCATAAAATAAGACTGGCTCATTGATAGGCTTTGGTGAAAGGCAAGTTTTGCATAAACTACTTTGGCTTCTGATGAACTTTTAGACGACAGTGGCAGTGCAGAAGATATAAATATTCACTCCTTTGTCTCTCATGGGGGGTGAGAGAAAGATTGAGAGTGAGTGAGAGAGCGCAATTTCTGAGTGATGCTATTCTCCATTTAAAAAGCATTTTAAAATACTGTGCATGAGACATGCATGCTAATATCTGGTTTAAAAAAACCCACAGCATGCAGGTAAGTCCATGCCCTGGCTCCAAAAACAAGGGCCAGCAACCTCTTGTGAGAGATCCAGCGTGATATTGTGGTTAAGAGCGGTAGACTCTAATCTGAAGCCCACTGGGTGACCTTGGGCCAGTCACAGTTCTTCGAAAGCTCTCTCAACCCCAACTACCTCACAAGGTGCCTGTTGTGGGAAGAGGAAGAGAAGGTGATTATAAGCCACTTTAAGACTCTGTAGGGTAGAGTCATAGAGTTGGAAGGGACCTCCGGGGTCATCTAGTCCATCCCCCATAGGAGGAAGTCGGGAAAAGTCAGGGTTGTACCTTAATCTTGGTTGATTTGGTAGACGCTAGATAGAGCAAGAGAATAGCAAGGGATGGGCTAAAGTAAGGGGAAAATACATTATCAAGAGGACATGGAACCTGTGTTCAAAAACTTTTACCTTCACAACTGAAATATTAAGTGCTTAAATGCAGAACAATTAACTTTACACTAAAAACTGGTGTCTGCATTAGCAGTGTTGGAGTTTCTGTCTAGCACTGTTAACACATGTACACACTCTCTACACCTTGAGATAGGATTTTCCCCGCCCTGCATACACCTCCCAACTGGCAGTAGATGCAGTGCTCTGTACAGTCCAACATGGATAAGTCCAAACCATGCAGTCTTTGCCGGACTTTGAAGGGTAAGGATCACACTGATTATGCTTCATAGGTAGTAGATATGTATACAAACCTATATTCGCGTAGCACGTAATGTGCTAATGATGAACCTAGATACAATCCCTCCTCCCCTATTGCTTGGATCCTTTTATGTCAAGGTGAATAACTATTGAGGAGCTACCAATATACGCCAGTTAATTTGTGATTTAGTAGGGGAAGGGTCATGAATGCACTTTCCGAACAGAATGCTTATCAGACAGCAGGATGACATTGCAGGTACATGATGGGTGTATTTCTTGATTGAAACCTCATTTGAAAAAAACCTTTTAAATTTTTTCTTACATTGCCAGAAAGGATTTGATGTGTTCAATGCACTAGACTTGATGGAAAACAAAGCATTCCTGGAAAAACTGAAATTTGGTATTGGAGATGGCAACTTGCAGTATTATTTGTACAACTGGAGGTGTCCTGGCATGGAGTCCGAAAAGGTAATACAGTGATCATTACATAGTTCTTTGCTGTCTGTTACATAACTCACAGCTGTTACATAACTCTGCCAACTGCTTTTTGAAAAAAAACCTATCAAGCATCTCTAGAAAAAGCAGGTTTTTGGCTCAGCTTACTTATAAGCCTTGTTTGCACTAACAAGTGTGTGTTACTTTTTCTAGGTTGGTCTTGTATTACAATGAGGAGGAAGGACATTTGTATTTATAGTACTGGGAAGTACCCACCTGAGGTGCTGGAAGCCGCGTGGAATGGAAGCTTTTTGATCAGTGCTGTTCAATGGGAGCAAAAGCACAATGCCTAATAAACTCCAAAAATCCACTGAACCTTGGGGGTGTGCACGAGGGAAAGAAGAAATCCATGCGTGGCTAATCCTGCGCACCTTCAGCTCTGACCGGAAAAGCTCACGAACCTTTTATTGTTTGTCAATTAAAAGAAATAAAGCACATTTGTTTAATTTTCAATGTTCAGCTCGCATCTTGATGAAAAGGGTTCTCTTCTTCTTCCCCCTCTCCCCCACATGTAAGACTGACTGTTGGGGGCGGGGGTTGTACAAAAACTCAACTACAGTGGGTGGAACAGAGTACAAAAATCTTTACTGTTTATGTGACTGAACTGCTGCATTTCTATTTATTAAGTGGTAGTGTACGTTTGTCAATGTAACAAAAATGAAGGAGCCAATTTAAGTATTTCTGCTTATTTCTATCACATGGATGTCATAGTTGAAGGGAGAAAAACCTGGGAAAGTATGACTTTGTTAGGAAACATGGGAGTCTTGGATGTCTTTTGTAACTGTGGAGTGATACAGAAATGTGCTGGTTTGACTGGTGCACTGGTTTCTCCATCAGCAAAGCTGCCAAATCAATAAATACAGATTTGTACTTTGATCTTCAGTAGATCACTGACTGGATTCAATAGCATTGTAGGTGTTATGTTGCCTGGATGATCATGTATTATTCATCTTGCAATCTGAGGGAAGAAACCCTTTAACCTCTTTGGTAGTAGGTTAAGAACAGCCTGTACATAAAACAAAGAATTTTAATACTATCAGGATGCTAAGATTGAATGTTTTCAAGGCTTTTGCAAAATTGCACATTCCTTTTGTCTACTTGCTTTTTTAAAAATGTCCATAATTTTAAACTGGGTATGTTGTGTAAATAAGAAAAGTGTTGCTAGTAGTTGTAAGATCCTGAGTTTTTGGAGCAAAGGTGTTTTGGGGGCTTAAGTGTCCCTCTGAGCCACGAAAAATGCATATCTATACACAAATTCTTCCAAATTCCCTTTTTGGATGGTGCTGGTCTTTATCAATATGCAACAATACCTTCCTCTCTCTCCCTCTCCACTCCGTCCCACTCTTACCAGTACAGCCCAAATTAGACTAAGATGAAGCATTTTAGCTGCAGTCTGCAACTCGCAACAATCGACTGACTCCAAAAGAACATAGGCTGTATTGAAGGCATTGCTTGCTTGAAAAGAAGGTCCAACACTTGCTTTCCATCATTTTGGGGGTTTGTACAGGTTAAACAGTTTTTGTGAATGAATCACCATACTCTAAGCTGCAAACGCTTCAGCCTGGTTCAACTGGTTTTTAAAAGATGTTTAGTTGTGAACTAAGCATGTGAAATGCACTCAAATTACTGGTTAAGGTACAGATTTACTGGAAGGAAGAATGGTTATTGTGAATTAAAAAGCAACAACTACTGCTTGGGGGGGGGGGGAGAAGATTGTTGCGAGAGGATGCAGAGCTCCATGCTAGACTATTCAATTATTAACTGTTATATCTACTCTGCTCCTACTAGAGCTGAGACCGTATCTGGATGGTAGGAGGCCTGCCAGTTATTCCCTCCAGACTGATACCTACGTGCACTGATTTATAGTGTCCTTAATTTGTCTCTGATCCGGGAAGGTCAGAACAAAAACACATGATTATAGAGGGGAATATCTGACTTTTCCACAACCCGTGAAACAACACTGTAAGCACCAATTTTAGCCAGTGTATATACAGATTGTCTTTCATCTGCTTACACCTGTAGTATTTAATTATAACTACTGTAAGTTCTGTTCCTGGGCCTCTCCCTACAACTGCCTGTTACTTTTTAATAGTTATACTACAACAGTTCATTGAACTACATTTACTCTGAAAAGCTACTCAAGTTGCTACCATTTTGGCTGCTGATGAGCAAATTTTTAAGTTCTTAGATTTCAACAGCATATTGTTGCTCTGACGTTGGGGGCCTTTCAGTCTGTCCAGGAAATCTTTCTCTAGCATGGGATCTGTGAACATCATGCATCTAAAGGTCCACATCTTAAATACTTATTTCTTGCAAGTATTTGGACTGGTTGATATGCTAAAGAAAACATTTCTTATATTAAAAAAATCCAAATGCACCCAAGACTCAATTGTGCATGCATTATTTGACCACTGACACAATTGTCCAATAGAATATTAAAAGGAAAAACATTATATGCTATCTGATTTGCAGATGTTTGTGATTCCCACGTTAACGGATGCCTAGCTATGGAGTCTATATTGGCACAAATGGATGTTTGAATAAATGTATCATTTTCATACTATTGTTTTGAATAATTACATTTGATTTAAGTGGCTTTGTTCCAAGAACTAGATTCTCCTCTAAAATGTGTACTCTCCTACAGAACCATTTCATTAATTGAAAGGTCAACAGAAGTCAAAGAACTTGTAAAAAAAAATGAGCTTGTGAGCCTGCTAAGTATTTATTATAACACTGGCTGGACAGATTGTCCTTACTTATGGTGATCCCCAAACACTTTTTTGGGGGGGGGATTTAAAATTTCCCGATTCTTCTCCTCCAGCTTCAGCTCCCTGTACCATTTCTGAAGGGGGTAGGAGGTAGTGGCATAAAAGGGGAGCAGGTAAAACCTCGTTTACAAGGTGCTTCAAATGTTGGTTGTAGTTTATGAAGACTTAGATCTAGGTATATGTGTATATATATATTAAATATGGACACATTCACACACACTCTAAGGGCTAAGTCAATCTAATCAGTTACTTTGAATTCGTTTTTTAGTTTTGGGAAGTTTTCTTCTCCTGTTTGGGTTGGGAATTATTTTCTTAACTTTGAGAGCTTTCAACGTCACAGTTGGAGAGAGAAGCTGGCTGCTGTCAGTTCTCTTCTGCTTGGGGCTGGAAGCGCACTCTCCGGGTTCCGACTGGGTGAGCTCACCAGCCTGCAAATCCATGAGTTGAAGATCTTCACTCACAGGGGGCTGTTCAGTTCCATGCTGTATCCATGGCACATCCAAGTGAGGGATTCGTGGGATGATTGCTTCAGTCACTTCTGCAAAAGCATCAGTGCTCCGTTTAAATCCCAGGGCTAGGACTGATGTTAACCCAAGAGCTGGTGCTAGTCTTTCACTGAGGCGGGGAACCTGACAGGCGGGGATGGCTCGACTTGCACTGAGCAGAATAAGGTGTGATGTGATCATGGCAGGTTTGGCAGACTTACACACCAGAACTAGGAGGAGTTCATTTTTTTCCAAAGCTCTGGTTACTTCATTGATCCCAATAGCAAGTTGGCCTCTGATGCTCAAATCAGTCCACCCGTGCGCTATGGTGTCTTCTGTTTCATTTTTCTCTGGAGCTTTGCTGGAACCTGCCTGCCATTCTTTATCTTGCTTTTTTGATAAAGAGGGTTTTTTCTTCCTCCGAAACTCTATCTTTTTAAGTCCAACCTGTTTCATAACATCTTCCAAGGTCTCCAGTATGAAGTGCATATCTGTTCCATCCAAGATGCTCCACTGGAGGGCATATGGGCTATTTAAAGATGTCTTTACAGCAATTTGCTTTGATTTCTGGACTGATCCTTTTGCTCCTTGAGCAGACATGATGTTCTATTTGATAGCTGAGCTGTAAATAAGAAATGGCAATCAATACTATGAATCCCAGTCAGAGAACCAGAACACCTAGACATGTACGATTGGCTACCTACCCCCTCACCCATCCTTTGTTTCCTGAACTAGTTTTTCTAACGTACCAGAAATATCTGTGAAGCCAGTGTGGTGTGTTGGACTAGAATCTGGAAGACCCAGGTTCAAGTCCCCACTTGTGCCATGGAAGCTCGCTGGGGGCCCTTGGGACAGCCACATTCAGAGGGCACTTATTTTGCTGCATTCAGGAAAGAGGGTAAGATGGTTTCCTTCCAGAGAACATTTGGTTAAGAGTAAACCAGAAAAAACATCTACTTCTGGTTCATTGACTATGCTAAAGCCTTTGACTGTGTGGATCACAACAAACTATGGCAGGTCCTTAAAGAGATGGGAGTACCAGACCACCTCACATGTCTCTTGAGAAACCTGTATAAGGGCCAAGAAGCGACAGTTAGAACCGGATACGGAACAACTGATTGGTTCAGCATAGGAAAAGGAGTACGACAAGGATGTATACTGTCACCTTGCTTATTTAATATATATGCAGAGTACATCATGCGAAATGCTGGCCTGGATGAATCACAAGCCAGAATTGAGATTGCTGGGGAAAAGATCAACAACCTCAGATATGCAGACGATACCACTCTAATGGCAGAAAGTGAAGAGGACCTAAAGAGCCTCTTGCTCAGGGTAAAAGAGGAGAGCGCAAAAGTGGGCTTGAAGCTCAACATCAAAAAAACTAAGATCATGGCATCCGGCCCCATCACTCCTTGGCAAATAGAAGGGGAAGCTGTGGAAGTAGTGACAGACTTCACGTTCCTGGGATCCCAGAGATGAGATGGTTAGACAGTGTCATAGATGCAACGAACATGAAATTGAGCAAACTTCAGAGGATGGCGGAAGACAGGAAGGCCTGGCGTGATCTGGTCTATGGGGTCGCGAAGTCGGACTCAACTGTGCGACTGAACAACAACAACAAACTGCTGGCAGCTATGGTTGTGCTATTTATTTTATTTTTTAAGATTTATATCCTGCTCAAGCAATGTCTTGTTACTGGCCCCTTTTGTTGTTTTTATGAATTTATATGGCTACTGCTGGTTTGCTATGTGCCTTGAGTTGGAATGTCAAATAAGACCTCTCCCTGAGCTCCCAGAGAGCCACTGCCAGTCAGACTAGGCGATACCAAGCTAGATAGACCAATGGTCAAAGGAATAGTCAAAGCTGGAATCCACCACCAGCAGTTTCAGTCTGTTTTACTTACCGCAGGACTCTGTGACCTCATTCTTCTGCCTGGTTAAACCAGGCCTTAATCTAAGAAGCGATGGAGCTGGCCATGTTTCAACCCAGGCCATAGGAACAAGAGGCCCCATCGATACTGATGAGAAAGAACCTAACTTTTACACAACTTTGCGTACGCCCAGGAATATTTAAATGGTCCACTGCATGTTCAGAGTCCACCTACATGCACGCCAGAATAGTGCCGACCTGGGTGTACTAACTATGCAAGCACAGTGACTGAAGGCACAGTTTAAATGATGCCCCACAAGATGTATGCAATGCTGCATCTGTAAATTTTTCTGTCCCACAGGCAGGTTTGAGGCCCCATTTAGATGAGATGATGGGGAGCCTCTTCTTGTTCAACTTTGTGCTCCCCTAGCATTATTTCTAAATTAGGCTGTTAACCATGCAAAGCAGCTATTAGTGTGCCAACCACTGTGTCTCTGGCAAACTAACCGAAGCTCAAGGAGCTGCTGGAGGGGTAGGAAAGCACTTTTAAGCGACAGCCACATTCAGAGGGCACTTATTTTGCTGCATTCAGGAAAGAGGGTAAGATGGTTTCCTTCCAGAGAACATTTGGTTAAGAGTAAACCAGAAAAAACATCTACTTCTGGTTCATAGGCACAGTTTAAATGATGCCCCACAAGATGTATGCAATGCTGCATCTGTAAATTTTTCTGTCCCACAGGCAGGTTTGAGGCCCCATTTAGATGAGATGATGGGGAGCCTCTTCTTGTTCAACTTTGTGCTCCCCTAGCATTATTTCTAAATTAGGCTGTTAACCATGCAAAGCAGCTATTAGTGTGCCAACCACTGTGTCTCTGGCAAACTAACCGAAGCTCAAGGAGCTGCTGGAGGGGTAGGAAAGCACTTTTAAGCACAACATTCGGTACTGCTAAACTAGGAAAGTTCTTTTGCCTAAGGCTCGATTTTAAACACGGTTGTTGTTCAGTTGCACAGTCGAGTCCGACTCTTCGCGACCCCATGGACCAGTTCACGCCAGGCCTTCCGGTCTTCTGCTGTCTTCTGAAGCTTGCTCAACTTCCTGTTCCTTGCATCTATGACACTGTCTAACCATCTCATCCTTTGCTGTCCCCTTCTTCTTTGACCTTCAATCTTTCCCAGCATCAGGGTCTTCTCCAGTGAGTGCTCCCTTCTCATTTGGTGGCCAAAGTATTTGAGCTTCAGTTTCATTATCTGGCCTTCCAGGGAACAGTCAGGGTTGATTTCTTTTAGGATTGACTGATTTGATCTTCTTGCAGTCCAAGGGACTCTCAAGAGTCTTCTCCAGCACCATAGTTCAAAAGAATCTATTCTTCGGCGTTCGCCTTTTTTTATAGTCTAACTCTCGCAGCCATATATGACTACTGGGTGCTGGACTACACGGTGCTAGCAGCCAAAAGATCTGTACAACTTTGCTCGGGCACAGACCGAGTCTCGTTTAAACTTTCCTGCAACCCATGCCAGATACCAACGCGCGCTTACTGGGCAAGCCAGCACCATACCCGCTAGATCTGTGGGTCTCTCCTTTACAAGCTACAGGTCCGTAGCCGCTTTGCACGGGACGAGCTGGGGCAGTAGCACGGTTGGCACAAAGCGCTTGACCCGAGCAAAGCCGCGCAGGGAAGCTCTTCGCCTCCGCCCGCGCCTCACTCAAATCACGTCCCAAGCGGGACACAGCGGGAAGCCAAAGAGGGATGGTAGGAGGGCTGTACCACATCAGGTTACCGGGGGGGGGGGCAGAATGCCATACTGGAATGCTCCTTTGGCTTGCAAGCAATACCAGGCCGGTAGAAAAGTAGCACAACGAAACGCAGCCTGGAAGACGCTACTCTTTCTCCCGTGTACTGGTTTTCGGCTAGAAGTTATTCCCCCGCCGGCAAAGCATTCAAGACTGCCATGCCCTCCCTCTCCGTCTGCAGTGGTACAGTCCACTCTGCCCCCTTATTCTGTCCCCTGCGCAGCCCGAGCACAGGCCCCTGGGGGGTGGGCCCCGCCGCCCCCCCCCCCCCACAGGCCTCCCTTCTGCACACACACACACGCACCCTTAGCAATCTTTCGCGCGGCGCATCCTCCGCCACCAGGGCCCAGCAGAGCACGGACGGGTCCGCCGTAGTAGTACTTACGCCCGCTTTCCCGGGACCGCTGCAGCTGAAACGCCCGCCATGGCTCTGAACTGAGCGTCAGTGAAAACGGAAGAGGCCGGCAGGCGCGAGGCGAGGCTCCGGAGGCGGGATCATTCTGCACACGCCAACCGGGCAAGAGAGGAAAACTGCCGTTTGCCCTCCCTCGTCCTCCAGAGGTCGCTGCTAGCGCAGTCTTTGCCGTTCGTTAGGTGGTTTGCCAGTTGGGCGCTCAAAACGTTAATTTGGGGGACGGGGGCGGTTATAAACATTCTCTGGGTAGCCGTGTTAGTTTGTCTGTAGCGGTAGAAAAGAGTAAGAGTCCAGTAGCACCTTAAAGAATAACAACATTTGTGGCAGAACAAACTTTTGAGTCCAGTGGCACATTTAAGACCAACAAAGTTTTATTCAAAATATAAGCTTTGTTGTGCAGGCACACTTCCTCCCATAGTTTGTGGCAGGGGTAGGAGTTTTCTTGAGTCACTGCTTCCTTCTTCAGATACTGCTAGAATGTGAGTCCATGAGAGTAGAAAGAGATTAGAGAGACTGCCGAATTGCAACGGATTAGGAAACTCAAGACAATGGATCCACCTGGATTAAATCAAAACCTAGGTTTCCTGTCACAATGCATTACCAATGCTAATGTCATTTGGCATCTGAAATCACTTTCCAGTATATAGAACATTTTGGAGGATACAAGATGAACATTTTGGAGGATAGAAATAGTTTCACTACATATTTGCTGCATATTTTAGAAAGAAAATTTGGGACTGCGGAGTGATCTGTGTTTGTCATTGGCTCTCTGCTACAATACATTTGATGGTGGCTGGAGTTTTACATGTCAGACAAAGAGCCCGGGGGAAGGAAAGAGAGGTATCTTCAGAAATGTTACATGAGATGCATTGCCCTACAATAAAGCCATTCTCACACACATTCACACTCCCCCCTCCTCTGGAATTTCCCCAACAACATGGCAAACAAGACATCAAGTTTGACATTCTGCCCCCCCCAATGTCCTCTCCCCTCCTTATGGGGTTGTCATTTATGAAAAGCACGTACTAATTTGGGAGCGTTAACATGCTTCTTTTGCACCCATTCATTATGGCTGGGGTCAAAGTCCTTCCACTTGACAAGATACTATAAATGACCACGTTTCATTTTAGAATCGAGACTGCCTTCCACCCCCTATGATCAGGGGAGGGGGAGCTGCAGGACGAGGTCTCCAAGTCGATGGTCCCAGATCTGTCTTCAGTAGACTAAAATGGAAAACAGGATGGATATGACGCAAACTCTTAGGCAGTTCAACCTCAACAGTCACTTGATAAATCAGGCGCACTACTTTGAATGGTCCCAGATACTTCCACCCCAGCTTCTTCCCAGGTTGTAAACCTCTGAGGTTTTTTGTGGAAATATACACGGAATCTCCGGCTTTCAAATCCCACTCCTGGCCCCTCCTTTTGTCAGCTTGCTGCTTGTGGTCTTCCTTGGCTTTAGTCAGAGTTTCCCGGAGGGTCGCCCACCCCTGAGTTACCTTAGGCCACCACATTTGGGCATCCCCAGGATTGAGTTCCCCTGGGCTCAGGGTCGGGAGGGGACCCCCTTCATACCCGTGTACCACCTTGAAAGGGGAAATGCCAATGGAGCTGTGCACCGAGTTATTGTAACTGTATTCGGCAAATGTAAGCAGGTCAACCCAATCGTCCTGCTGGTAGTTTATGAAACACCTGAGGAACTGCTCCAACACTTGATTTGTCTGTTCCGTTTGCCCATCCGTCTCGGGATGGTAGGCGCTACTGAGTCCCTGCTCAATCCCCAACAGCTTCAACAGTTCCTTCCAAAACCCTGCCATGAACTGGGACCCCCAATCCGATATAATCTTGTGGGGCAAGGCATGCAGCCTGATTATATGTTGCAGGAACATCTGGGCCAGCTTCCTGGCCGTGGGCAGCTGTTTACATGGGATAAAATGCACCTGTTTCGAGAACAGGCCCACTGCCACCCAAATCATAGATTTTCCCCTGCTTGGGGGTAGGTCAATGATAAAATCCATTTACAAATCTTAGAGAAAAACTCTGCCCACCACAACTACTTTGCATTCAGATGCCAAAGGGCCTGTAGCGCCTCGAGATTTTTATGATCGGTCCAAACGTCAAGCAGCACTCGAGCCTCCTCCAACCAGTGCCACCAGATTGTTAATGCTAGTTTAATGGCAGTGGCCTCTTTGTCCCACACTGCCCAATTCCTCTCTGCTGCCAAGAATTTCTTTGATACATACGCCAGCAGATGCAGGTTTCCATCTTCCCCCTCTTACTCTCAACAACACTCACTGGAAGTGATGCAGAACAAAAATGTTCCAAGCTAAGAACGCTGTTGAGTCAGAATTGAAGTTCAGTTGAGAAAACCCCCTAATTATACATGGTCCAAATGCAGTCCCCTCCAATCACACTGCCCATTCGTTCCCACCTAACCAGTGCACTTCCACACACACCCCCACACACACACCTGTAAATCTCCCCTTCGTTATCTAAGCTAAGGTGGTAAGCACAGACACAGACCAAGGCCATCTGGCCCCTCCTCTGAGGAAAGAGAGGTATCTTCAGAAATGTTGCATGAGATCCATTCTCACTCACACACATTCACACTCCCCCCTCCTCTGTAATTTCCCCAACAACATGGCAAACAAGACATCGAGTCTGACATTACAGGCAGCTGGACTACTCACTTTTCACATCAGCTATAATATAATACAACTTCTGCATGACTAGAATTATTGAACTGCACAAACATTCTTTTGACACTAGACTTTTATCTCCTGGAATTGCATTTATTATTATTTTTAAAATAATATGAATACTTGTCACTCCAGTTAGAACTGCATGGTTAGAATGTCTGCCTTCCTCCTTATGTATTCTTTTTCCTTTGAACTGCATGCATATGAGGAAATGAAACTTTTGAATCAGCATGTTGTCGAAGGCTTTCACGGCCGGAGCTCATTAATTGCTGTAGATTTTCTGGGTTGTATGGCCGTGGTCTTGGCATTGTAGAACCTGACTTTTCGCCAGTAGCTGTGACTGGCGAAACGTCAGGTTCTACAATGCCAAGACCACGAGCACACAACTCGGAAAATCTACAGCAACTAATTTTGAATCAGCGTTCGTGAAAGTAATGTAAAGGACTGTGAAGTGTTAGTGAAAGATCTGTAGCTGATGCATAGCCAGTTACAGTAGAGGAAGAGAGAAACATTTACTCTGCCCTGAGCTCCTTGGAAGAAGGGTTGGACTTGGATGGAAGTAAGATCGTTTCCAAAGTACTCAACAAAGAGGACTGTGTCACCGGAATGACTCCCTGCCACATCCGTAAACACTCCTTACCTCTTCTGAATTTCTTTTCTGGAATCAAAATAAAGACAAACTATCTGATGTTTATCAACAGCCAATGAACTCTTTTTCAGCAATTCCAGATATAACAGCTTCCTTTATTGCTTTGGCCTTAATTTCAGTCCATCCACAATTGCCAGTGAAACATAAAAATCTGAAGCAGTGAAGGAACTGCCGTAAATGCAAGGAGATGGAATATAAAGCACGAAGAAGAATGATCGTCACCAGCAGGGAAGCTGGATGAGGAAGCAATTATTTCCAGAAGGGTAGAGGTTAAGATGCTGAGCTCCAGACTGGAAGGTCTGTCGCTCCGCAGTTCCAGACCCGAGTGCCATGTGATGAAGTGAGCTCCCATCTCTGGCCCCAGCTCCTGCCAACCTAGCAGTTCAAAAGCAAGAAATTGCAAGTAGATAAATAGGGACCACTTCAGAGGGAGGGAAGGTAACAGTGTTCAATGCACCTCGGTGTTTAGTCATGCTGGCCACATGACCATGGAAATGTCTTCAGACAGCACTGGCTCTTCGGCTTGGAAATGGAGATGAGCACCGCCCCTAGAGTCGGATTTGACTGGCTTTTGAGCAAGGGAAAACTTTACCTTTATCAAGCAAGTAAATCTTCCCCTGTGGCCAAGGCAGCTCTGAAGGGATATCCCTGTGCTGTTTTGTGTGGGCTGAGCTATCAGAGATTATAGAACAGTTGCCTTACATGGTTTGCTTCTTGCACTCTCCAGCCCAAACATGCCTGACATTTTGAATTTTGCTGCAATTAACACCTTCTCTTCTGAGCAGCCAGGAAAAGATCCATTCTGCCTAGACAGGTGGGTGAAGGAGGATAGAAAAATAAGTCAGTCTTGCCTAAAGGGCTTTCCATCAGCACACATCTGCGTTGTGCAGCAAGCTGAAGTGAAGAAATTAATTTCTCCGGAGACGGATGTGATTGGCAGGAGCTGAGCCTGCAGGCCCTTTTGGCATTTTGAGAAAGGGTAGCAAACACCACCACACAATGGCTACCACGGGGCACATTCAGTAATTTTGTTTCTCTGAGGGTGGTAATGAATCTGCCACTTAAAATATATATGAGCTTATATTTGAAGGTGGGGAGTGCTGGATATTCCCCCAGTCCCTCTCCTCATACATATTTTTAAAATAAAGTTTTGATTAAATGAAACGTCCAGGGGAAGATCTGAGTAGTCCCTGGAAGCCGGTCTGTAGTACTTTGTGGATACCCAAGCTTACTAACAGACTGTTGGATGTCATTCTGCAAGTTTTTGTGAGATTGGGGGTCTCTGGTGGGAGAAGCTTGTTAAAGCTGGTACTGGGGACTTCATAAACTGTGTAAAACAGATTATATTTTGAGGGAGGGGTGCATTGGGTATGAAGGGATTCTAAATATGGCAAGTGCTAGGGGGGTGGGGTGATTTTCCCTGGTCATGGAGAGGAAATTGTTGTGTCTTCACCATAGAGAAACCATGTTAAGCTTGAAAACTCAGCCAGGATTCTAATCTGAAACAATACCATTGGCTGAACCAGTATTGTAACCAATCAGATGTAAGAGAACTGTGCTGGAGGGAACTGTGTTTATTGGATATTATCTGTGTATTATGACTGGACCTTAACTATGTGAGGGCGTGGCTACACCAGCCCGGGATTGTTTAAAAGGGAGCTAGGCTCCACTGTTGGTTGTCGTGGGTTGTTGTTGTGTCGTGGTGTGATCTTTGGAAGTTCTAGTTCTTAATAAAGCTGATTCACTTGTTACTTACAACGTTGTTGAGTTGCATACTTAACAGAAATCATCCACTGCTTCTCTCTCCTTGCCTCTCCCAGCTCTTCCCATACTTATTTTCACTTCTTGTAGTGATGGTCCCTCTGCCCCTCCCTTTCGGCTGCTGTGGCAAACATCGTTCCAAGTGAACACCCCTCCTGCAACAAAGACAAGCTGCAAGAGCCCATTATCTGTTGAGCTCTGGCAACTGCCCAGATTTCTGGGGCTTGGCTTTCTGCTCCCCCCACCCCCATGCCATGCCCACAGTCTGTCTCTCCGATGGATTTTCGGGGTACCTTCAAGCCAGTTGGAGAAGTAGTGCTGGGGTAAGGGTGAAGAACAGAAAGAAGGTGGAAGGTGGCAAAGGAAAGAGAGAAGGGGGGGTGAATGGCATGAAGGAGGACAGCAAAGAAGTGTGCTTGAAAAGGAGTAAGGAAGGAGCAGTGTCCCCTCTAAGCTCAGTCAGTGTGAGCTAGCTCACAGTTTTTTAGCCTCTGGCTCACATATTCTTGTCTTAGCTCAGGAAGGATGGCTCCAGATTTATGGAGTACGCAAATTGCTTGCTCACAAATTTAATGCGAGTAGCTCACAAAGTAGAATTTTTGTTCACAAAACTCCACGGCTTAGAGGGAGCATTAGGAAGGAGTATAGAAGAGGTCAGGAACAGTGTTCTCTCTAAGCTGAATTAGTGTGAGCCAGCTCACAGTTTTTTAGCCTCTGGTTCACAGATTTTTGTCTTAGCTCAGGAAGGATGGCTCCAGAGTGAACTAATTTATGCAGTAGACAAATTGCTCACTCACATCTTTAATGCCAGTAGCTCTCAAAGTAGAATTTTTGCTCACAAGACTCCACAGCTTAGAGGGAGCATTAGTCAGGAATCAAGGCAGCAGGCGCCGTGGCCCCCGTGGGCATCATCTTGTGAATCACATAACAGCACTCATCCGACACAGGAAGAGTTCAAGGGTGTAATCCAGATGCCACTTATTTATTTACCTTATTTACAGCCTACCTTTCTCACTGAAAGGCAAGGCAGGTTACAGCAGTAATGTACAGAGTGCATTTTAAGATGGGTAGCCGGGTTAGTCTGTCTGTAGCAGTAGAAAAGTGCAAGACTCCAGTAGCACCTTAAAGACTAACAAATGTTGTGGCAGGGTATGAGCTTTTGCAAGTCACTGCTCACTTCTTCAGATACAGCTAGAAGAGAACACAGTTGATTTGTAATATTTGTGCCCCAGTTTGGTTTCAAATAAAACACAATCACAATATTCAGTAAGAATAGAAGTTACCTATGTAGAACAAGCACCCTGCAACACACCTGTGCTACTAGATACAGGCACTAGGTGGTGCTAAATGAGCCGTGTACCTAACTTAGCACCTAGTACGTTTAAAACGGCTGCAAAACTAAAATCCTGAATTTACCAAGTGACAGAACAAAGCTTGAGTCCAGTGGCACCTTTAAGACCAACAAAGTTTAATTCTGGATATAAGCTTTCATATAAATGCACAAAAGTCGCTTTCACAAACACTTGTGCATGCACACGAAAGCTGATATCCAGAATTAAACTTTGTTGGTCTTAAAGGTGCCACTGGACTCAAACCTTGTTCTATTGCTTCAGACCAACACGGCTACCCCGCCTGAACTGACCAAGTCACAAGTCCCGTTGAACTCAGGTGGATTTATTTCTGAACAAACCTCCGTGGGATCGGGCTGCGATCTGGAGGGAGGGAAGAGGAATGAAGAAGAGTTAAAGAGAAGGCTAGGAAAAAAACCCGAAGGAACGCGTCCTTCATACGAAATAATTATTTTTTAAATTGATCTCGTAAACTGGAGCCAAAGGGACTCGTATCCAACAGTTGCAAATAAGTATTGCATCCAAGTCCGTTACTAACACGCATAACGAAGAGCTTGGTGCCGCCGCAGTTGTCCCAGATGAGCGTCTTCTGGTGCATTACAACCCCTGCTCCCAATCTCAAGGCAGCGCCTACTCGCCGGCCGCAGCCATTGCCAGGCTAGCAAGAACTACTGCAGTCTTCGGCTGCTGCTCCAGAATCCCTGGGAGTGACGTCAGAGCATCCCCGGTCCAATGGAAGCCCTGGCTGCATCCTGGGCTTATAAAAAGGAGTGCGAGGCGCCGGACGGTGCGGATTCCAAGGGGATAGCGGTTCTTTTTCTGGGCTGAGCCTTTGGAATATGTCTCTCCGGGTAAGGAAACTTCAGGCGGGAGAAATCAGGGCTGCGTTTTAGCATCCAAGGGGCTGTCAAAGAGTGAGCCCTGCGAGGGAGTTTTTCTTAACTGCGGCGCCTGCCGAAGGAGTTGGAATGCCAAGGAGAGGGAGGTGGATTTCGGTGGGGTCGTTTTATTTGCAAGGAAGGAGTGGCTAAAAGCGCGGGTGGATGCTGGACTTCAGCCTGGCCGCCCCGTTCTTCTCACAGGCCGGAGTCCTTCTGTCTCTCTGTGTGGGTTTGATTTAATGGGGGTGGTGGTGTCTTATTTTTTCCTTAAGGGCCACTGCATGGTCGGTGGGTGTCTTTGCGCGCGCATTCCAAACTTGTGCAATATGGCCCTAAGCGGGTTTCTTCAGCAGCAGTGAGTGGACGCGGGTATTCGCGTGAGTCAGCAGTGAGCTCAGTGAGTGGACGCGGGTATTCGTATGTTTTCCCTCCGGGACGAGAAGCCCTGCAGGAGGGGCCGGGGGGTTACTTCGGGAGGAAGCTACGACGTGGATTGCGGCCGGCTCCGGGCCTGCCCCGCACCTCCATCGCCTTTCAGCGTTTCGGCCTGAAGGGGCCGCCCGCGCCTGCGTTGGCTCTTGCCCCCGTGCACAGGATCGCGCCCGTTTGGTAACCTCTCCCGCGGAGGCTGCGTGCGGAACTGCAACGTGATCGGGCAACAAGAGGCTACTACTCCGGTTCAGATTTCGGTTTTCTCTGCAGTCCGATCTTATGCACAACTGTGGCTTTCACAGACAGTGGACTTTACTGATGTCAGGGTCTTCTTCCTGAGTGAGTGTGCCCAGGATTGTGGTGCGAGTGTGCCCAGCGGCGAGTGGCGTGCATTAACTTATTGGAAAAGGAGCTCGAAAGTGGGCACGAAAAAGGGCGAACGGCAATTATTTCCCCCTTTCCGTAAGAGCGGGAATAAGCTCCCTGAGAAAGGAAAATGGTATATATGTAAATATTCTGGGAAAGCGGGAAGTCTGTTTTCCCAGGAACGTGAAGGTTTTATGCCTTCAGCTGCTGCCCCTACCCCTTTGCCGCTTGCCTTTTCAAGCCGGAGTCCAGCCAGCCTTAAAGACCAGCAAAACTGAGCTTTGGTGAGTCAGAGCTCACTTGATCCACAGGCATGACAAAACTGCCAGGACTCCCTCGGACTACGTGCTTAGAGAAGCAGGTGCCGCCTTCTTTGTGAGCGGCCAGGCTCCAGTTCTCCTCTGGCAATTGTCTGCAGGTTTCTCGTTCCCTTGTTCTTGCAAACCTCAGCCTTTTCTCGCTTCTGTTGGCATCCACATGATGAGGCTGGCAGCAGAGAGAGTGATGCAGTACGGAAGGCAGCAGCGGCATCCTCCTAATCCCTCGGATGCATTTGGAACACAGCCAGTAACCTGGCAGCTGGACTTAACAGCTGCCCTTGCAGTGGTTGAATCCTCCAAGGGGGAATTGGAGCACCACATGTTTTGTAACCTGCACAAAGCTTTGTGGATATTTGTGCAGGGGTTGGCAGGGAGCTGGTCAAATTCAAGCTAGCTAGAATTGAATTGTAAATTGCCACTAGCACTTCATCTGTGTTGAAAAGGATCAAAGTAGGAGCCCTTTGCTTGGTGTTGGAAATCCAAACTTGAGCATTCCTAGCAGATGGCTCCCAGCCTCTCCATGAAAGACCTCCAGCAGAGGAGAGCCTCCCTCCCTCCCCCACCCAGGCAACTAGGTCCATGAGCAGCTTCTAACACAGCTGAAACTGAAGACGTTATAGTCTTGCTCTCTAGAGCAGCAGAGATCTGGTCTTTGCCCTCTTTTATGTGACAACCCTTCAGAGATTTGAAAAGCATAGTGCTGTTTCCCCTCAACCCCCAGGTTAAACATTTATTTATTTATGTGCTTTATACCCCACATTTCTCCCCAGAGGGGAACTCAAAGTGGCTGTGACAGCCTTTCCCCCGTCTCCATGCATGCTTGGTGCTTTCAGCCTTTTCCAGACCCTGACCTGACATGGGGTCCCTTCTCTACCTCTGCATTCTAGGCATGACAATACAGTGATGGGGCAGGATTGGGTTTCTGTTTAATAGTGAATTACAATTAGTAATGCTTTTTGTAGTGGGGGCATGGGATTTTTGAAAATTAATTGTGTTAATTAAAGGTTATGAGGGTTTCTGCCTTATAGTTTTCTGATAGTGGTATAGCTCTTGTTTTAGTGCCTAGGGGATGGGAGAACTAAAGTTGTGTAAGCAGCAGCAGTTCCAAGCCAAGGCACAACTTTCTAGATCTCAAAATGTCACTTTGGAAAGTATGAGGTTCTTAGCCAAGAGGGGTAGTAACTGTATGGCATTTTCTGCAGTGCCACAAGGAAATGGCCGGGATCCAGAGAATGGCCGGGGTCCAAGGGACTTGTGGGCTTAGGTATCTCAGATCCTGTATCCTGTAGTGAATCACTTCTGAAGCCAAGGGAATTCACACAGTCAGTTCCTGATATGGAAGTGAGGGTCTGTTGTTCAAAGAAACACCATCAAAAACCACTGGCCATTTTTGCAGCCTTGGCTGTGCCTAGGGAAGCTCTTTGAGTCAGTGCTGTTATTTGGAATCAAGAGCTGAAAATTGCATGTTTGTAATAAACTTTTCTAAAAATGGGTTTTAATTATTGCATACCAAGCAGGATTGGGAAAATGGCTACTTTCTCAGGAAGAATATACTGAGATCTTATGGTGAGGTCCTCCATATCTGCCTAGGAAAGACTGTACAAAGTCTCTACTATATATGTTAAATTATTGATGTCTGTGACATTTTTCATAAAAAGTCATGAGAACATGCTGAGCGAGGAGGAAGAGTAAACTTAAAAAAAACACAAATGCATTTGGTGAGAAAGGGGTAGAATCAAGCTTAGTATCATATCAATGGGGTCAACAAGAAATAGGAGGGAAAATGATAGCATGAATGAACCGTGACATCATGGTCACACATACTGGGAAAAGCGAAGAAGGGTTCCCAGGCTTCAGAACAAGTTTGTATTCTGTCCTGGGAAACAGTGGCTGATTGTTCCATTTCAATGCCGTATTGTACTTGTTTCATCCTCTGAATGCCTGCAGGGAGGCAGCTTATGGGGACAGTTGGGTGTCTCTGTGTTATCAAGAATGTTGGCCAGAGTCTAGATCTGAGTGTTGGCTCCCTGACAACTTGGAAGGCTTCATATTGAGCTGGTGGATTATTTCTTGATGCTGTACATCGTGTTGTCATTCAGTAATGAAGCAAAATTCTATCTCCCTCAATGTCTACCCGTGTCTTTTTTACTGCTATTCAACTGAGTACAACATGATTGAATGCCCCCCCCCCCCCAGCAACAACAAAAAACATTAAGCACCTCTCCAGACAAGGCAACATTGATGTTTTCCACATAGGGACAGGCTTATTTATTTTTATTTGTAGTCCACCTTTTTCATTGGGACTCAAGACAGGTTACATAATATAATATAAATCAATGCAAACAATAGGATGAGGAGAGAGATGATAAACAATATAATAGGACTAGGATTTCAGCTACCTGAAATGGAATGATGTACACAGTGAGAGCAAGATAAAAACATGCAGCAACAGATGAATACCTACTAGTAGTATAGTCCGCAGGCTTGTTCTCTCTATTAAAACATCTTCCTGAATCATTCATTTATAATGCAGCTGCCCTGTGTTTTTATAAAAATGCCCTCCTGTGCTGTTTTGTTTTACATATTTTGTAAAAAGCCAAGCGTGTGGGAGCTTTCCTCATCTTCTCAGGCAGGCCATTCCATGGAGTGGGGGCCACTGCAGAGAAGGCAGATAGGCGCACAGTTCTTGATCTTGCCCATTTGCAGGGTGGCACTTGTAAAAGGCCCTCTTCAGATGAGCAAAGTATTCGTGGTAGGGCATAGGAGGAGAAGTGGCCCTGCAAACATAAGGGCTTTTGGATGTGATGGCCAGTGCCTTGGATTAAACCTGGTAACTAATGGGCAGCCAATGGAGTAACTGCAGAGTGGGTATAATATGCTTGCACCACCTAGTTCCTGGTATTAGTTTCTGAATTGTCTTTGAGGGGAGGCCTGTAGAGGGGCCATTGGAATAGTCTAGTCTCAATGTTGTTGTGGTGTGCAGAACAAGGTGACATCATCATAATGGTGGTATCCAATACCAAAACTACAAATGATTTCTCCTAAGAAACATTGAAGAGGGATTGACTAGCATGGGGGATAAGACTGTGCCCTGTGGAACTCAACAGGACAGATTGCACAATGATGATGACCAGTCTCCAATGGCAACCCTTTGAGTCTGTAAAGAAGAATCCAAAGCACATTCCCTGATGCCTACTTCTGTCTCCAGATGTTTCCACAAGATAACATTGTGTAGTTTCCCCACTCGGGCCTGTAGCCAGGAATTTTTTTTTAATCCAGGGGGCCTTTAAAAGTCAGGGGCACCCCCCCCAAGTGAGCAGCCCCACTCCTACCCTTCCCTGCAACTCACGCATGCTAGCTGGTGGGCCTCTGCCCCAGGTGATCTTCGCAAGCCTCAGAGCAGGTAGGGCTGCGCTCGCCAGCTGCAGAGGGGTGGTAGGACATGCAGCAACAGAGTGAGTGGGCACTGACGTGCCCTGGAAACCAAGCACTGGTAAGCAGGGATGCTGGCAGGTGGAGAAGTCCTCCAGGTGGCCCAGAGAGTGGGGGGCTGGGTTGGATGGGAAGTCATGGGGCTTTGGCAGGAAGTCAGGGGGTTGGGCCCCGAGAGGCCCCATCGTAGCTATGGGCCTGTCCCCACGGCTATTGTGGCTGCTGAGAAAGAGCAGCAATGGGGCTTCCATGTGGCATGTTTCCGTGGTTCACTTCCCCAGCAGTGGTCCTTTCAGGGTTCTGGGGGTTTTAAATCATAAATTGACTTGTTATAGCCTGGGGAACCCCAGGAGATGCACAAATGTATCATGATGATGGGGGGGGGAGGTCCACTTTCCAACAGCACCAGATGTACGGCAAAAAGCCTGTGTGGAAACAGCCTTATGATAGAAAGTGCCAGTTTTTATTTGAGGCTATGGCGCTTTTTGGAGAAGACTTTCCCCCTTGCCTTTGTGGCTGTTCCAGTGCCCTTCTGCCTTCTTTCTGGAAACCCATCATCCATGTTTGGTCTCATGGTTAGAGGATTTAAGAGGGTTTAACACATCCTTCCCCATCCCCAGGCACACTGCCTCAGTCAAATGTGGAGTCCTCCCTCCACCACAGCAGTTTTTAAAGTAATTATGTTTTGTTGTTGTTCAGTTGCACAGTCAGGTCCAAGTCTTCACAAATCCATGGACCACATCACTCCAGGCCCTCCTGTCTTCCATTGTGCTCCAGAGTTTGCTCAACTTCATGTTCGTTGCATCAATTATGTAGATCAGTAGAGATAAAAGTGATAAAATACAACCTAAAATATAATAAATCCTTGTAAACATGAAGGGTATAGGATATCAAACAAAAATTACTGATCCCCCACCCCATGCAAATTCCAGCCAGGACATATTTCAATGAATGGTCAGTTACTGAAGCAGACTTGGAAAGAGGCCCAGATTCTTTGTGGACGCTGCAATGTAGTGGTTGAGCTTTTAGAGATTCTTGCAACAGTGAAGCTTGACTCCAAGGAGCAGCTAGTGCCTGCCAAGTTAATAAGGAAGCTCTGTTCCAGAGAGCATTTGGTAGTGGAAGGTGGATTTTTTCAGCAGATTTGGCTGTGAATTTCCTGATCTTGGGTGTTTGGAAATCTGAATGCTTTTAAATTGATAAATCATATATTTTCATGTTATGGTTTTGTTACTTGGATTATGGTTTATGACTTTGCAACTTGGTTTCTCTATTGAGTCCCAGTAGATTAGGCAGGATAGACGTATTTTAAATAATATATGAATTTGTTCTTTCACCCATTATAGCTCCTTTATTTGGAATAAAAGATATGAGTGTTTCCATTTCCTTCTATTTCATTTTCATTTTCCTATTTAGACGCTTGCAGCTGGATTGGTTATAACTGTAGTAGACTCTACATCCATAATATGTCAGTTTTCCCCCACATAGTTTACTGGTAGGGTACCTGAAATGCAATTTGTTTACACTGATATGGAGAACAAGATACTGTATTTTGTCTCATCCCAAGGCCAGTTGATTTGGGTTTGCATCCAAGACTGGTGTGTGGGATAAACTGACAATTCCTTTCTTGAAAAGCTTGATAAACTTTGGATTGAACAATAAATCTCCAGACTAAGGAGCTCTGTCCTGCAAGGGATCTTGTGCTGTTCCCTGGTCCAAAGCTTGGTTTTCATGCTAACTTCCATAAGACACTGGAGGCAGGGTTGGATCATCTTGCTTTGTACACTTTCAGTCTCTGGGGACTGCCCTGTAAGAGGACACAGACTGTACCTTGGTGCAAAGCCTGGTTTCTGGGCTAAGGACTTCAAAGTTGGCAACCCCCCAGGAATCTAGTTTGTCGTTAAGATGTGCCAAATAAGAAACTGAGGCAGCTGCATCACTTCTGCACCCCAAAACAAGCTTTGGACCACTCCAAATCATACACCCTTGGGCTCCAACTGCACCCGTTACTTATTCGTTTTAGCAGTAAAAAACCAATGAGATTGAAGTCCTTGGTCCAGAAACCAGGCTTTGGACCATTGCTCAGTTTGTGTCCCACTCTGTCTGGGTGATTGCACACAGACCATATGAAAACAAAGAAGCTGATGTGCATCTTGAATGCCATGCAAATGTTGAGTGAAGATAGGGGCAACTTGGAAAGCATTAAAGTTTTAAAAGCTTAGTATTTGGGAAGGAATGAGCAAGATATTTAAGAAAATATAGGAAAAAGTGTTGCTGTTTCCGTTCTTTTTCTCTTCAGGCTAACTTTGACAGTGCGGCAGAAAACGTAAGGCAATTAAAGGCCAGACCGAGCGATGATGAGTTGAGGGAGCTCTATGGACTCTACAAACAGTCTACTATGGGAGACATCAATATTGGTAGGTTTGTAGCCACTGCACGTTGGCTTTTGTTGAAATTATGGTATTTCTGAGAGCTCAGGGTCCGGCTACACATAAAGTCCTCGCATTCATTGGTGAACAACACGAGGACTTTGTATCAGAGATGGGGATGAGAGTTTCTGCCTCCAACCCACCCCCTCCATTTGTGACCAAAGCAGGCAGGATGAAGGAGCTTCAGCCTCTTCCTCACTGCTGTTTTTGCATTTGCAAATCAGACAGCGGAGCCACTGTTGGCTCCATTGTTAAAAATCATAGTACTTACCTGGTTGCATGCAGATTTCACAGTGGAGTCAATTGCAGCTCCTCTAGGCACTTTGCAAAGTCTTCATCTTCTCCAGCCAACATGAGGACCGTAATGTGTAGATAAGCCTTCAGAATTAACATAGAAGAACTTGTGTTCTTTTTTTCTTTTGTTCTTCAGAATGTCCAGGAATGCTAGACTTGAAAGGCAAAGCCAAATGGGAAGCTTGGAACCTTAAGAAAGGTGTTTTTCTTAGAATTATTATATAAACCTTATTCTGATTAAAGTCATGTTTGTATGCAAAGCAACTAAAGAATGGTAAAGGCTGCTGCTTCTTGCTTTACAGGTATGTCAAAGGAAGATGCCATGAAGGCTTACATTTCTCAAGCAAATGAGCTGATACAGAAATATGGAAAGTAGAGTTCCTGCAGTCATACTAACTCTTCAGTAGCTGACAAATAGTTTGAAGGCAAGAGTACTACTCACTTTGCGGTCCACACAGAACTTTATTGTCAGAAATTCAACTCTACAAATTGTATGCAGGCTGTATTTGTTTACAATAAGGTTTTACTTCTAGTTTGGCGTTATAAAAAATCCAGTGTTTAATAAAATTTCACAGTTCAGGCCACTTAAAAGTTGAAGACTGTCAGTTTTGAAAGACATTTACATAATCCTTCATACTGTGATAAAATAATTAAGTTCTTTAAGAATGCTGGTGATGTTTGGTTACTGAAGATGTCACTGTTAAATTTTCTTCAACTCTTTCACAGCTTCCTGGGTTTCTCTGTGGACTGAATGTTTGAAAGTGTTCTTATCAACAAGGATTCTGGGATATTTTTGTTGAGAAACTATGGTTACTCATAAGCAGGAAATGGCTATAGTGTGGAGTCACAGATAAAAGGCAGAAGGGGAGACGGAACCCTGAGCTCACTGGGTGGAGGAATGTTCTCTCACCATCTTTCTTCCATGTAAAGTCACAGGAACCACTGGTGGAACCAGAGAGCAGGATAATGGCTGCCAGTCTCCCCTCCCACTTTTTCCCTTGGAGCCATAAAAGTTTATAAGGCCACACATCAGAATATATCTCGTTGGCCTGCACTCACTTCTATGCAGCACACTTCAAACCATTCAAAGAAAGTATATTGCAGGGGTGTCAAGCATAAGGCCGGCCCATCCATGGTTCCTATGTGGCCCGGGAGCAACTAGTGCAAGGGAGGGAACTGGAGACTGTTTGGGGGAGTAGGCGGAGCCACTCGGGTTGTGGCTCCAGCATGGCGGAACAACTTTCTCTGCAGCAGTCAAGCAGCGTGGGAGCATCTACCCAGTGCTGCACCTCTGGCTCACCAGTCTGCCCATATGGGTTTTCCTTTGCACCCCCCTCCCAGTCCATGGGGCCTTGCAGTGAGGATACGCCAACTCAGAGCTTACCAGTTGCTGTCCTTTATACAGTTTATACGCCTGGTTCTTGGCATTACATTTGGCACACGTGACCTGGCCCAACAAAGTGACATGTCAGATCTGGCCTTCATAACAATTGAGTTCGACACCTCTGGTATATTGTATAAAAGGTTATCCTATCTGGTGTTTTGTGTATGTTGGGGACATATGATAAAGGATTTTCTCTTTGATGTGCAGACTGATTTATTTATTTTATTTTATTTCATTCCATTTATTAATCACCTATCCCACCAATTGTGGAGCCCTAGGCAATGTTGTTGTTGTTCAGTCGCACAGCTCACAGTTTTTTAGCCTCCAGCTCACATGTTTTTGTCTAAGCTCAGGGAGGATGGCTCCAGAGCAAACTAATTTATGCAGTAGCCAAATTGCTCGCTCACAACTTGAATGCCAGTAGCTTACAAAGTAGAATTTTTGCTCACAAGACTCTACAGCTTAGAGGGAGCATTGCAGGTGATGTAATTTACCATGAAAAACCTTAGCCACCTATTTCCATGCATTAAACATCTTTGAAAAGGGCAGGCCCTTTTTCTGCAGGCCTGTTACCAACTGTCGAACTGGCCTGAGTAAGGGGTTCTTCTTTGGGGTGACCACGCATGTTCCCACAAGTTCATCAACTAGGGAATAGGAGCATGTTTCTGTTTCCCAGCCATCTTGCACAACCCATCTGCACCTGGAACTCTGTGTGAACGGACAGAAAAGGCATGTGTTCTGCTGCATAAGGAAGGAGAGGCAAACAGCAAAGAAAAAGACAGTAACAGCAGAGGTGCAGACAGATTGCATGACAGAAGACTTGGGATATTCATTAATGGTATCTTCTTGAGAAGTCTTTGCCATATAAGCTGTACACATCCCACTACTGATGGTGTTCATTGCACAACGTATGACATGGTGTTTTGCATGGCCCATTCGCATGTAAACACAAATTCTTAGCCAACTTTAGCCTCCTGAGAGCCTGAAGAAAGGCATGAAATTGTTCTTTCGGGTGGGTTTGGTTGACATCCTTGAAGCTAAGCCAAGAATTAGTCATGAACAAGTTTGGAAAGGTCTCATAATCTGGTGGCAGGAGCTGTGGGGCTATGCGTGTACATGTCCTGCTTGCTGAGAACGTTCCACACGTAAGGTTGAGAAGGTAATGTTCTTAACAGAAATGAGACTGCATCAAATCCATATATGGAGAATAGTTCTCAGAGTAGGTTATTTTTCACTGAACTGCTTGTCTACATGTAGGAATAAAAACTTTAAAATCATGTATAGGTTCCTCTCCTAAGGTACTAAAGAGCACCCAGTGATGCCGATGGGCAAGAGATTCAGGATGGACAAAAGGAAGTGCTTCATTAATTGTAACTTGTCATAACATTAGTCTACACTGAGCTGGAGGGGCAGTAAACATACCAGTTTTTGAAACAACACAGAATGGAATAGAGACATTTGTTCTCGAATGATCTGGAATTGGGGGAGAGCAGTATAGTCACCAAGTTTGCCAGTGACACCAAGTTATTCAGGATGGTGAAAACCAAGGCTGATTAAAGAGCTCCAGGAGGATCGCCACAAGTTGGGTGAACAGGCAGCAATGTGGCAAATGAAGTTCAGTGTATGGAAGTGTCAGGTGATGCACAATGGAATAAAAAAATCCCAACTTCAAGTATATGCTGGCAGAGTCTGAACTTGCTGAACCTGAGGGAAAAAAACTCTTGGGGTTATAGTGGGTAGCTCAATGAAAATGTCAACTCAGTGTGCAGCTGAGCTGTGGAAAAACAAACTCTGCTGGGGAAAAGAATTGCAAACCTAACAGTATTATAATACCCCTATTTAGATCTATGGTGAAACCTAATTTGGAATACTGTGTTTTTCTCTGTCTGAAAAAAAGACTGCGGAGCTGGAAAAAGTACAGAAGATAGCAAGAAAGATGGTTAAGCGGCTGGATCACCTTTCCCACGAGGAAAGGGTAAAGAGACTGGGACATTTCAGTTTAGATAAAGACAACTGGGAGGACATAAGAGGTTTATATAATTTTTAATGAGCCAGAAAGGGTGGTACTGAGCACTTTTTCTCCCTCCTTCAAAATACTAGAACTTGGGAGCACACACTGAAGTTGATAGGCAATAGAGTCAGAATGTTCAAAAGGAAGTATTTCTTTATCCCACAAGTGGTTAAAATGTGGACTTCACGGCCAGGGGATGTAGTGATGGCAACAAGCATCGAGAGCTTCAAAAGAGGACTGTGTGTATATGTGTTAAGTTCTGTCACGTCATTTCTAACTTACGGCAACCCTGTGAATTAGTGAGCTGCAAAATGTCCTATCATTAAGAGCCTTCCTCAGGTCTTGCAGACTGGGGGGCATGGCTAAAAGAGGACTAGATAATGCAAACGAAATGAAGCACAAGAAGAAGAGCTGTGGCTGAGTGGTAGAGCATCTTCTTGGCATGCAGAAAGTCCGAGGTTCAATGCCTGGCACCCCCAGTCAAAAGGATGAGGTAGCAGCTGATGAAGAGGAAGAGGAGGAGATTGGATTTATACCCCACCCTTCACTACCCGAAGGAGTCTCAGAGTGGCTTACAATCCCTTTCCCCTCCCCACAACAGACACCCTCTAAGGTAGGTGGGGCTAAGAGAGATCTCTGAGAACTGCCCTTGAGAGAACAGCTCTGAAAGAATTTATGACTGACCCAAGGTCACACCAGCAGTTGCATGTGGAGGGGTGGGGAATCAAACCCAGTTCTCCCAGATTAGAGTCCGTGCACTTAACCACCACACCAAACTGGCTCTCAAAAAAGACCTCCATCGGAACTGTGGAGAGCCACTACCAGTCAAGGTATTATACAATACTGGTCTTGATAAATAAATGCTCTAACTCACTATAAGGCAGCTTCATGAGTTAATGTGAACAAAACTAACACTGGCTCCTAAACTTGGAATTAGAGCCTTTAGTCAGTGAAATTGTAATTCCACAGCCATGGGGAACTGCTGCAGTGTGGTTGATTGATGCCTGTTCTGATGTAACATTGGATGGGATCTATACCCTCAACTGATGTGCTATTATGTTACTATACTACAAAATCTTTAATACAATACGCTCTGGATGGAACTCTTATTTGATTGCTTTCAACACTTATTTCCCACTCTCTGCCAGTTACGGTTCTAGAGGCAGTTTATGAGACTACAGAGAGTACCTCCACCTGCACCTCCAGTCAATAGTGTTGTGATATGAAGGAATAGCCATGAAATCCCAAAGAGGGCCAGCTATGAGTGTTCTACCCATTTCTGTTCATCTCATTTCCCCAGGCATTTTGTTTGATGAGTATGTTGCTGATGGTGTCATTTGTGGTGCATTACTCCTGTGTGGTTGGTGGTGGGAAGGGGTGTTTAACAAGGGGTGTGTGTGTGTGTCAAAACTGGCCATAGTAACTTTTCAGAGCTGCATTACTGGAAGAGTCTTAAAGAGGATTAAACTGCGTAATCATATCTGTCTAAATAGTGTAGTAAGTCTATCCCACCTCACCCCTCCAGTTTTACTTGAATTGCCCAAAGTGACTGGCAGATAGGGCACAGATCCAGCTTCTATGCCACTCTAAATTCTTCTCAGTTGCTAAGAGCAGGTCACAAGACATTTTGTTCTGGAAGCCTATTAAAAGTGACGTGATGTCTGCACAGAATATACTAAAACTGGAGCTTCCCAGCTTTTATCTGATGCAAGCAGAATAGATGAAAGATGATCTTTTCGGGATTAAGCAGTTCTTGAAAACTCATTTATAAATGCTCTGCCTCATCTTCAGGCAGAGGGGATCAGAACAGACTGAAGTAGCAGGCTGGGTATTCTTTCCTAAGAACAAAGGATGCAAGAGAACCCCATGGCGATAGGTAACCCAATTCCAAACAAGCAGGCCTTGCCTAGAGAAACCCCTTGGGAGTTTAGGTTTGTGTCAGAAGCAGTGTTAACTGTAAAATTATGTCCCGATTTAGATGTCTGTATTATTTCATTCTCGTTTCCAATACGCTTTCCTATAAAACCCTGATTATTTCCCAGAACACTGCTAACAGTATTCTACATTATAGGGAACTGTTTGCTGGGGTTTTCTGAAATGTAATCAACAATTACTTGAATTGTTCCGACCCTCTTCCTCTCCCTTCGTAGGGTTGGTGGAAGTTTGGGTAGAATTGGATGTGACTTGCACAACAAATTCAACAGAACCATTCAGATTTCAGGGGCCTACTTTATATTAATGCTAATGTCCCTGTTTAATGGCCAATTATTATCTTTCCCTTGCCAAAGAAATTCAGTGGCAGGCCTTTTACGATGCTGGTACAACATTACAGAGGAATTTCTGGAGACAGTAAACAAATTATTTCTTTGATTCCACTATTCCAGTCTCTGCATAGCCAAACTGAACAAGGCCCAACCTACCAATCCTAACTGGTGTTTTGTGTATGTTGGGGACATATGATGAAGGATTTTCTCTTTGATGTGCAGACTGATTGATTTATTTTATTTCATTCCATTTATTAATCACCTATCCCGCCAATTGTGGAGCCCTAGGCAATGTACAGAGTTCTAAAAGCATAAAAACCATGTCCAACAACATACAGTAATTAAAAGCAAGTGGTGAAATTTTGTAGCTCCCTTCCATATCTGGTACGTGAGTGCTTCGCATGTTCAGGGGGGAGTAAGTTCTATAAGGAATAAGGGTCCAGGTAGATTCTAAACTGTGTGCATTTAAAAAAAAACAAAATGGAATGGATCCACCAGGCTTTTCCATTGCTGAAAAAAGTTAGGCTGGACGTCATGGAACCTGCACAGACAAAAGCCATGTGTGATGGGGCACGGCACATTAAATGACGCAAAAATTACACATCAGGACTATAGTTTCAGCAAGCTATATACACAGTAGTGTAGACTACAGTCCCTAATAAATTTATCCAGGTAACTTTGTGTAATATTAGTAGAGTGACCCTCTTGCCTACGTAGAAAAGTCTTCTTGAATAATTCATCTTTTTATTATTTGCGGAAAGCCAGGAGAGTGGGAACCTTCCTGACCTCCTCAGGCAGGCTGTTCCACAAGGTGGGGGCCACAGTGAAGAAGGCCCCTGTACAGGCAGGTGTTGATTTTACTCATTTGCAGGTTGGCACCTGCAGAAGACCC